CGGGGGCGGAGGGGGGGTGGCTCTCTCTAGCATAGTTTGCCAAGGTCACGTAGTTGGATGACAACTCTATCAGGAGTCTGAAGATGGCCTGGGCAGGTGATATAAAGACGGCAGGGTGTTTGATCTGAGATGACAAGAACAGCACACTGAACATTTGTCATTTGGGTCCCATTAGTTACATGATAGGTCCTAGCTGCTTCCACGACTGCAGCTGAGACTTCCCCCACCAAAGCAGGCAGACACTTCAGAACCTCTGAAGCGTCAGCATAAAAATTCGTCGTTTTAAGATCAGTGACTATTTGGAAAATGAAGCAAACAATTCACTTCTTTCGACATTTCCCAGTATCATTTAAGAAAGGACAGAAAAAAATAGGTTTAATCATCGAGAATAAGGGGTTAAAATTGTTGAATACTACTGTTCCTAAAGCATAGGTAACTAATATTTATTGAGTACAATATAATGGCTACCATTTACATTTTATTTTGGTTTACTGATGGGATTGTTTTCCTTGTTAGCGTTTTCCAGGAAATTCTTCCTACTCTGTGCACAATAGTACTATGGTTTTTTGTTTTTTTTTTCCTAAAGCACCTTTTAAACACATCCTAATATTCTGAAGTAGAAGGATGCTGCTGGAAACAGAGGAATGCACATCCAGGCCCCATTTACTGCTTTGGGAGGAAGTTATGTGAAACAGACAAATACTAATGTATTGGCCGAGTCGTTTTATTTACGGTTAATACACAGCCAATTAAAATTTTACACAGTGGAGGGGAGGAAAGCAAGATTCATAATAGAAAAATATTTAAACTATGAAAAAACAATGTTATATTTGTAGCTTCTCATAGGCAGAGAAGCTACAAATATAACATTGAAGGTAAAGAGTGTTCTTCATAAACACCATGATAAGGCAGATCAGAGGGAAAAAAGTCTCTCTAGCCCCCTAGTGTCTTTTGGTCTGACTTATGCTGTTCTAAATTTTCTGAATCATTTCAGGAGAAAAGAAGATTCCTGTAGGTTTTGTTTCCTAACTCAGAACAATTCACACCACAGCAAATGAAATTTAATTCTCCATCCTTACTTATGAGATACTATATTACACAAAACTAATTTAAATATCAATCTAAATATGAGAGATGAGGAGGCCTGGTGTTTGCCAAAGGCTATGTCACTGAATTTACTCCAGCTGTGAAAAGGGGCTAATCAAGGATGCTGAGAAGTGTCTTGAGGTCAAGACCAGACAGCTGCCATCAGTGAATACACAAGTGAGGAGAACTTCTTTAATTACTAGGAGGAACAGGGACAAGGACCGCATGCCTATGAAAAGCGGTAGAGTTTGGTGAGCACGGAGACCACAGTCAAGGAGAAAAATCAAGAGTACAGGAAGAGAAACAGAGGTAGGAATTTTGTGGGAAGCACAAACATAGACTCGATCATGGGAGGAAGAAAAACCGAATGGACTGGGAATTTTGAATGTTACTCTAACCTAGTTTAGATCCAAGACAATATAGACAATCGAATAAGCATAGTTAAGAAAGAAAAGAAATTCTATTTCAGAGAAACACAAAATACTGTGCTCAAACAAGTAAAGAGAGCAGTTTGCGTATATATTTGTTCTCAACAGTTGTATTAGAAACTTCAGAAATTTGATGTTTAAATTTTTTAAATATCTAAAGAACATGAACGAAATCAAAAGCCAGACAACAGACTTTGGGGAAGTGTTTTTCATGCATGTGATTTATGGTGGGAGGAGCCAATAGAACACATGGCTCAAGGAATCTGTTTTCTCACTTATTGCCTAGAGAGTCAAATCTTCGTCAACTTAAGCATGAGGCCTGAGGCCCCAGCACAGTACCTGGTGCAAGGTTAGATCCCAGGAAAGGTTTGTTTTGCACAATTTGGACTGACCAAGGCAAAATGATACTGGTATCCAAGAAGTCTCGGAGATACAAAATAACGATCACTCAGTTATACACTAAAAATAATCAACAAGTCATTCAACAGCAGGTGGAGTCTTTTTGAGAGGCCAAGTATTCTCACGTGCTGGAGCAGATTTGGCTGATATTTATCCACCTCTCTATGGTATGTCTACAAGAGTCCCTTACTGTCAGCCTCCACCTGCTGCCCTTCCCCTACAATCAAAGGCATTTCCAACAGATTAAAAAAAAAGATTATTAGTCATAAGGCTTAATAGCTAACAAAACTTGTCCTCACGATGGTTTTCAAAAGGAACCTATTCAAAGGAAGAAAACTCAACAGTTTTCCTTTATTGGTTTGACTTAGGGAAATTCAAAGATTAGGGAGTATTTACTTCCATCGAAGCCAGAAGGTTTAAGTCCACAACTTGATGTGTTTGACGTTTTCCTGATCCAGTGGGAATATTTTCACAACACCAATTGGCCCCTTGATAGCCACGCCTTACTTCTTCCAAGAATTAAAAGAATGTGGGATGCGGAGCCTTCGAGGCGCCAGCTGGACGAGTGAGGAGGGAGGGCTGGAAGCGTGGAGGACATTCCCGTGTGGCTTCACCTGCTTTTGAGCTGCGCAGCAACCTTGCGCATAGGGCCGCCCCATCCCCAAGCGGCGGGGGACAGATGGTGCGCAACGAGGATCTCGGGGCACTTTTCTCCCTTTAGCCAATTAAAATGAACGGGCAGGCCCAGCTCACACACCTGCACCTATGCAAACACGCGCTCCCAGACTGCCTCCGCTCACCCCAGGCTGCCAAAGCATATCTTCCCTCCCGAGGATGCGAGGCGCACGGAGCAAGGGAAATACGCGCCGGCCCGCGCCCGCCCTCCTCGGCCCCGCCCCCTCCCCAACTTTCCC